GACGGGCCTTCAGACTTTTAGAATCCATATCTTGAAAATAAGCGTGCAGTTGAGGTCACATTGACTACGTTTACACGGCTCGATTTACGCCGAAGTTATGACATCGATGTTAAGAAATTGGCCAATCATAGCTATTCCTCTGACGAATGGAATGACTGCGATTGGCCAGTTTTCTAACATCGATGTTATAACTTCGGCATAAATCAATCCGTGTAAACGTAGTCATTATTGAAAGGAACGATACCGAGGGTTTGTTCGCGTCGCGTGCTCAAACGTGCTCCTACCATAGCTCCTATTCACTTCAACGACCATGTTCAAATAAGTAGGAACTATGGTAGGAGCATGTTGGAGCATGTTGGAGCATGTTGGAGCATGCTGGGAGCATGCGACGCGAACAAATCTCGAGTTTGTAGAACGTTAGGTCTGTTTTTTATTGCCGCACTTTCTGAACTAGTACACACAGTGCAATAAGTTGAAGTGAAACAAATATACGTTTGTTTCACTTTAACTTATTGCACTGGTTCAGAGTGTAGCAATAAAAAAAAGACCTTTAGGCCCGTATTCAGAACGCACTTACAATGATATTAGCGCGCTAACATACTATACTTTACGTCACGTATATTATAGAATTTCAGAGATAAATATGCGCTTTTATCGATAAAAACGCGTTCTGAATACGGGCCTTATGCTGGATTCACACTGTATCCGATTTTCGTCGTACGACGCTCTTCAACCAATCAGAAAACAGAATTCCGATGATAAGAAGCAAAATCCATCGGAATCCTGTTTTCTGATTGGTTGCAGAGCGTCGTACGACGCAAATCGGATGCAGTGTGAATCCAGCATTAGAGTCCTAGATTTATCAGAGAGGCGCAACAGGTGTTATGCATTCTGATTCGCTGTCGCAATCTGACCAATTGCGTGATTTCGCAGCCATTTATAGTACTAGTGACATATTTCTATTCCATTTTATCCTATACATTCCATCTCACATTATCCTACACGTCTTATCTTGTTTGACATAATTTAAAGGCAGTTTCATAGCATGTCGGCCATGTTTAGTACTCTCCTTAGCACCTTTTGGTCTGTTTTCTGTTCCTGCACTAGACTGTTCTAGAACTCTCTTTCTCGCTTTAAACAAATATCAAAATATATCTATCTCACTTTAAGTTCCAAACGTGTACACTAGTTCAGCCACAAAAAACAGACCTCTAATGCCCATTTCCACCAATATAGATTAACTTTAATCTCGGTTCAACTTACTCTTCGTCTTTTTCTAATCTTTAGAACTAGAAAAAGACAAAGAGTAAGTTGAACCGAGATTAAAGATGATCTGCGTTGGTGGAAACGGACCTAAGGGCTCTATTCTTGAAAAGAAACGTATACGAAAATCTAGGGAAATGCTAACTGTAGCATTTCCCTAGATTTTCGTATACGTTTCTTTTCAAGAATAGAGCCCCTAGAGGTCTGTTTTTTGTGGCTGAAATAGTGTACACGTTTGGAATATACGTATACTGATACGTTACGTACACTATAGTATTTCCCTAGACTTTCGTATACGTTTCTTTTGAAGAATAGAGCCCTAGTCATACTGTTTTGGGAAATATAGAAAAGGAGAGGAATAAGGAAAGGAAGAGAATGGGATGGTGATATAGGGAATGTAGAGAAAAGAAAGAGGGAGTGAGAAGGGTATCAAGGGAGTGGAAGAAAGGTAATTGGGGAGGGGAGAAATACAGAAAAGAAAAAAGAGAATATAAGGAGATGTATGAGGCAGAGAAAAAAAGGAGAATGAGAGATGGGAAAGGAAAGGAAGGTTGGAGGGAGCGAACAGTGAGAGGCAAGTGTGGGAAATAGTAAACAGGGAAAGGAAGAGATGGAAGGGGATAAATAAGAAGATAGGGATGAAGGAATGGGAAGAATATTTCAAGGTTGGGGGGGAGTGGTCGAAGGGAGAGTGGTAAGGGGAGAAAGGGGAAGGGAGAGACAAGGGATGGAGAGGAAGCTAAGCAGGAAGGAGATAAGGAAGGTGACCAGAAACTTGAAGGAAAGGCAATGGGGGTAGACGGGATTCCGAATAAAGTATGGAAATATGGCGGGGAGGGGATGGAGGAATGAGTGTGGAGAGTGTGTAATGAGGTTTGGAAAGGGAGAGGATGGCCAGAGGAATGCAAGGAGGGAGTGGTAGTACCGGTTAGGAAAAAAGGACTGGGAGAGGAAGTAAGGGACTATAGAAGGATGTCGATAATTTTGTCATTATATAAGGTATATACGGTGGCGTTGTTGAAAAGATTGAGGGAGGAGATAGAGGGGAAGGGGTTAATTTCACCGAATCAGACGGGTTTCAGAAAGAAGTTGGGGACGTTGGATAATATATATATGTGTTGAATTTTCTAATAAATAGACAGATAAAGAAAAAAGAGGTAAAACTGATAGCTTTATTTGTGGATTTGAAAGCGGCATTTAATTCGGTGGATAGGGGAGTATTGATAGAGGCACTAAGGCAGAGGGGGGTAAGGGAAGGGCTAGTAGAAAGAGTGGGTGAGCTATTAAGAGAAACAAAGAGTAGAGTGAGAACGGGGGGGAATCAGGAGAAAGTTTTTGGACGGTGAGGGGGGTAAGACAGGGGTGCCCGCTGAGTCCGCTGTTATTCAATGTAATAACGGCGGACTTGGGGAGAAGATGGAAAAGGTAAAATGGAGGGAGATGGGGTGAATTTGGGAGGTAGGAAGATATATGGGTTGGCATACGCGGATAACATAATGTTACTAACGGAGGAGGAGGGGAGTATGAGGACATGATAGAGAAATTAGAGGGCTATGTGGATAGGAAGGGATTAGAACTGTATAGGGAAAAAACAAAAATAGTGAGATTTAGGAAGGGAAGGGGAAGGAGTAATAAGGTGGATTGGAAATGGAAAGGAAAGGGGATAAAGGAGGTAGGAAAATCTAAATATCTAGATTCTACGTTGCAGAAGAATGGGGGGGGGGAGGGGCAGGAAGAGCATGTGAAGGAAAGGGTGGGAAAGGTAGTGGCATTGTTGGGACAGGCGTGGATTGGAAAGAAGAGATTTGGAAAGGACTGAAAAAGGAGGATTTAGATATTTGACGTCTTGATTTGGACATAACATTATATTTCATAATGTCTAAAAAGGAGAGTATAATGGAGTAGCGCGCGCAGGGGATGTGCTAGTATGTATAAAATTTTATATATATATAAAAAGCCGGAAGTACACAAAATTTTGATAAAGGAATAGATACAATTACAATAGAATAAAACATTAAAATTAATGATCATTATATAATATATTATATACATATTAAAATATTATAAATTTATTTCACGAATTTATGGGCGCGGCCCTATGATGTCACAGCGATCGATTCGACGTCGCTGCGCAGTAGTAACGGTATCGATGTGTTATTTCCAGGGCGATTCCCCATTTCCAGTATAGGGTTGGCTCGCGGCGGGGGTGCTTTCCCAACGACGCGCGGCGGAGGCAAGAGAGTATGCTGAACCGGCGGATGTGACGCATTCCTATACGCTCGCAAGATCAATTTTTTCTATGGTCACGAGTATGACAGGTGAGTCCTTCTAATTTTTCTTCATTTCTTTTTTATGGACATAATGGGTGCATCCAGAAACACGACCGCTCACTGAGCGCTCGGTGAGCTCTTGCATCTGATTGGCATATTTCATTAGATCGAAAAATATAGACCAAACAGATACAAGAGCTCAATGAGCGCTCAATGAGCGGTCGTGCTTCTGGATGCACCTATTGATCGGAAAATATCAACAATTTTATTGTTGATTAAATTTTATTCTTGATAAATTTGTTTCACGGGCGTATGTTCAAAGGACGTATAACTAAAAGTTATCGATGGTAACTGTGGTATCAGAACAAATATTATACACTACTGTGTGTTAAAATAAAAGGAAAATATATTATAAATAAGCTAAAATTGAAAAAGAAGAATTATTTTTATATGTATAAAATTTTATCTGTGTATAAAAAGCCGGAAATACACAAAATTTTGATAAAAGAATAAATATAATTACAATAGAACCACACACACAAAACATTAAAATTAATGATTATTATAATATCATATTATATACATGTTAAAATGTTATAAATTTGTTTCACGAATTTATGGGCGCGGCGCTGTGACGTCATAGCAATCACTTCGACGTCGCTGCGCTTTGACGCGATGTGACACGGTATTGATGTATTATTTCCAGGGCGGTTCCATTTCCTGAGTGTCTCGCGGCGGGGGGTTGCTTTTCCAATGGAGCCTGGACAGAGCTCGGCTCCGACTTTACTGATTGTGACGTGTACTATGACGGAAACTTAAACAGCGAATTATTGCACAAGTAAGTTATATTTAATATTTGAAATGTGGGTTTTCGAGATCGATTATATATTCCATTTATTTCATACTATTTTTTCCATAATCTTCAAACTTTTTAATCAACCTTTATTATTTAAATAAATATATTTAATAATATATTTAGGTCGACACAGATTTGGGTAGCGATCATATAACTTTTTCTTTAGAACAGAATCGTGAAAAGTGATTTTTATGTACTAGATCAACCTTTTAGGCCCAGTTCCACAACTCATAGTTAACTCTTAACTATGAGGTTCAACTTGTTTCTCATCTCTTCTCAATTCTAAAATTGGAAAGAGACTGTGAATAAGTTGAACCTCGGTTAACCGTGAGATGTGGAATTGGGCCTTAGCATTACACAAGGCGTGCATTCGTTTATGCAGCGGTGAGCGCAGAAGTATTACTTTATCCTTGTTGTTCACCAAGTGTTGAACAAAGATTAAATGATACTCACTGCGCTAACCGCTGCATAAACGAATGCACGCAAAATGTCGGGGCAACCTATGTTTTTCTGCGCGCGCATCTTGACAATCTTGACAAAATCAAAATGGCTGACTATATTAGGAATGGCTACGTTTAGCAGAGAAAGCAGCTTTGCAACTGTTGTAAAATTCTTAAATATGATTGGTTTATACATTTAGATCCAGTGAGGAATTAAGAGCAAGACCAATCATATTAAAAAATTGTATAACAGTTGCAAAACTGCTTTCTCTGCTGAACGCAGCCATCTGTATTCTTTGCCCATTGTTATAATTGTAAGGCGGGGAGACTACTTTTAAACGAACCGCCTCTGGATGTCAGGTACAAAAGGGTTTCTTCGTGCCGGTGGTAGGGAACAGAGAAGGTAAAGGCTAGGACTCTCAAAGAACCGTCGAGGATAACTTCTTAGGAGGGGTGACGATAGGCGGAAAGAGAGGACACCTTTGTATTCAAACATTTAATAAAAATAACTTCGCGTGTAACAACGACTTCGCGTATATGCGTGGTATCTAGAGAGTCAAAACATAACTGTCGAGGCAGACCAATGTTGCTTTCGTCGATTTTCTCCTAAAACAACCTCGGAATCTCCCTAAATCTCCCTAAGTGAGCTCCAAAAAACCCTAAATTTCTCTCTAAAATTGTCAAATATGTTCAAAATAAAATAACAATGGGTTATTTACAATAAGCCGCAAGTTCAGAACGTCAGAAGTATTAACCAGTATTAACCAAGTCGTTCAAGTTGGCTGTTGGCCAACTTTACCGATTATGACTTAATCAGTATATGACATTTTTTTGTTAATCTTTTTATTGAATGCAAGGCACTCAACATGACTAATCAAGGAATACCCGTCATGGAATACCCTCCCTAAAATAGGGGTGATCCCGATTGACCACGGCTCGATTGGACACCACCAATCACAGCGACCGGTGCTTAGGAGCTTTGTAGTCTCAAGCGCTGTGAGTGGCTCGTGTCCAATTGATCCGTATCCAAAAAACTGGGTGCCACCCCCTAAAATATCCCTAAAAAACATTTTGTCTCCCTAAACATTCTCCCTAAACATTTTGTCTCCCTAAATTTCTCCCCAAGCCTAAAAAATAACCCTAAATCTAGGGAGAAAATCCACGATCTGGCAACATTGAGGCAGACGCGCAGCGTCTCTCCTCCTTAAGCGGGGTCTACAATAGAAGTCGTAGCAGTCGTAGAGTCTTAAGTAGAAAATTAACCAATCACAGTAGAATATGAGAACAATAATCGACTATGATTGGTCAATTTTCTACGACTTAAGACCCTACGTCTGCTACGACTTCTATGGGTCCGCGCACAAAGATGGTCGCAACTGAGTCGTAGTCGTAAGTCGTTGTCGTAGGTCAACGCACAAGGATTTTACGTATGTCGTTTACGTATATCCTATTGCGTCAGTTGACGCAAACAACTGGTCATTTCTCACTGGTATAGACGTATAATTGCAACATATTTCATCGAAAATGTTTTGAAAGAGACGGGACACGTACAGAAAAAATAATTAATATTAAATAATAATTGTAATGTACAATTAATAAAGATATACCTATAATAACAACTTGTTTTTAATAATACTGTAAAATATTATTTCTATAAGATGAAATAATACTAATTGCTCTGACGATATATATGTATTTTATACTCTAATAAATTTTGTATACCAAATATTACAATTACTGAAAATAGTTCTATGTTACGTCATATGTCGTCATACACAGCAGTAGTAACACTACTGGCTCAACAGTGACACTATTGCGTATCAGTAGTAATACTACTAATGTCAGTAGTGACACTATAAAATGTCAGCAGTCATTACTGTACGCTATTATGCACTAATAGCTTTTTTCCGTAAGGGATCAGAGTATAACATGGGAACAGGAGTTCCCAACCGCCGGTGTGTCTGGACCTACTAGCACACGGGGAACCGGAACTATCGGAAGTGTATCAGTTTCTGCCTCTTTATGCTCAATGGCCAGTGGTTCATCCTCAATTTCTGGTTTGTAACGATCTTCGTAAATTGTTAATAATATGCAAATTACTATGGAGGTATTAAATATACTATAGTAACGTGTTTCGAATTTTAATTCATTCGTATAGAAGTGTCTTCCATTCCTTGGCAACTTCCTTTTTCAAGAAACTGACGAGGCCGGCGAGGATACGGCAACACACAGGCACTTACAGACGTTCCCAGATGCAATCGATGAAAATGTGAATGCAGGTTAGTAGTTTAATTTTATATTCGACATAAAGTACATTTCATATTTTTTATCAAAAGTAACATTATGACAGTCTGATTTCGAAAATAAATACTATTTAAAATGAGTTTTCTAGAGTATATGGAAAGAAGAATTTTGCTTAAACTATTTAAAAATTTAGCTAGATACAGACCTAAAAACAAGTTCATTAAGCCAATAAAATTTTACACAAATTGAAAAAGATGCGCAATGTTGCAAAAAATGTTGACATTCTAATGTTTGGATATTCTAATCTTAAAATAAAATTATTTTCGAATGTATATAAGGTACATTTCGCCAAACGTTTGAACTGTATTTCAGCAAAACCGTTTCTTTTTCATGTACGTAAATCGGCGAAATAAACAATTTATGAAAATTTGTAGTTGTGCCAAGATCCTATTCAACAAATCCTTGAAGAGGAGAAGAGCTTGCGGAAAAATCGGGAACGCCGATTGCCACCAATCACAGAGTTCCAGAGGGACTGTCTTGTTAGTAAAGCCTTCACTGGAATTAGATACCTTTGCAATCGTCAATTTCAGCAATCGGCTAAGAGATTCGCCAAAGTACAGATTTGTGACACAATTGACATGTTTACAGATGTGTTCACAAGATTGTGACGTAGATGGATATGCCGCCAAGCTCAAGAAGCATATATGCTACTATATCGTCGGCATCGTCGGCATTGTCGTGCAACCGCGCCGTGTACGCCGTGTCTAAGGCTAAGCGACCAGCGACAGTGCTGAAGATGTCGGTGATCCAAGAGGTGCAGAAGTAGAAGAAAGAAAAAGTATGAGAAAAAAAACGAGAAAAAGCAGAAGAGATACGACAAAAGGAGGAAAAAGCGGCAGAAAATATTCAACAAATGCAGCAAAGAAGCTGGCGAAAAAAGAGAAGAGAAGAGGAGAGCGAAAATAGAAAGAAAAGCAGGGCGGAAGGAAGTCGAGGAGGTTCCTCTTTTAAGGGACCAAAAGTAAGGTCTGACTGATAGAATAAAAATTTTGGGACTTCGAACATCATAATACAGATACTCTAAAGTCTAAAAGATTAACTGATAGACTGACAGCATTTTTCGATGTCTTATACCTTACATATACATAAAAAGAACGGTTCCGCTGATTGTAAGTTCGTTACAAGCATCAAATGTATTCAATAAAAGTAATAGATGGGGCATATAAGAATCAGTTATAGAAATTGTAAAAAAGGGGTACATTGAGACATATAAAATACACTGACTGTAATTAAATTTGAATAATATAGTTCTTAATATTACATTACAGCTGAAATGTATAGAATATTATTATTTGACATTAAGAGATGAGATTGAGAAGCGAGGCGAAAGGCACGTCCGACTCGTTCGAGCGGTCTCACGAGACTATTGCTCCCACACATACATACGCGTAAGGTCTGTAAACTCCATTCATAAATTCTATCGTATGATGCATATCAATGTTTACATGTATGTATGCACGCATATGCATATATACGCATATATATCATTATATTGCTCAGTAATAATTAACATGAATGTAAGGAGCCTTTTTGTGGGCTGACACAACCGCGTGCGTACGTGTTGTGTAACAATGAGGCAGCACCAAATCTTCTGATTTTTTTATCATTAATATTAGTGGGTGCGAGACATTTTAAACTTCATTACCCTCAAAATCGGGTTGCTGTCGAGGTTTACCTGAAGCAGATCGAGCGGCAGTAGCGCGATCGGACCCAGAATAAAGAATTTAGGTTTGAAATAACGTTATTCTAGGTTTTTGGTGTTGTAAATCATGAGACCCAGTCATCTGGAGTAGGGCCTGATGATTTACACATCAGGTCCTTCTGTTTGCTGGGCCCTTCTGTAGTTCAGGTTTTTCCTGCAAACCAGGCTCTTCTGCGGTATAGGGCCTTTCTGTGGAACAGGGCACTTCTGTAGGCTAGGTCCTTTCATGGGCTTCTGTGGGCCAGACCTTTCTGTGGTATAGGTCCCATCCGGAGACCAGGCCCTTCTGTGGGACAAGGCCCTTCTGTTTGTTGTGCCCTTCTGTGATACAGGGCCCTTCTGTGGGTTAGGCTTTTCTGTATTATAGGTTTCTTCTGTAATCGAGATCCTTCTATGGTAGAGGGCCCTTCTGTGGTACAGAGTCCTTCTATGACAAAGGACTCTGTGGTAAAGGAATCTTTATTATAAAATAAAAAAATAAATATAAAAAAAATATTGTCATTTCATGTATAAAATTTTTTCCAGGGTAATTTATTAACAAACTGAATCGTTCATCGGAACAACGGTACAGAAATATAGGTAGTTATACAAATAGCAATCAATATAGAAACAAGAATTACCAAAGAAAAAGATATATAGCGTTTCCTTTTGTGCTACTATCCTTTATAAATATAATTATAGTGATGCAACACCCGAAGCGAGGCGAAGTGAACACGTCTGCACAGCTCGAACGGTTTCGTGAGACAATCGTCCTTCTGAAATCCAGATCCTTCTGTGGTAAAGGGCCCTTCTGTGAACTGTGTTCTTCTGTGAGCTGGATTCTCCTGTGTTACAGGGTCTTACCGTGAACCATGACGTTCTGTAGGCCAGGCCCTACTGTGATACAGGACCCTTCTGTATTCCAAGCCCTTCTGTGGTTCAGGGTTTTTATATGGTACAAAGCTATTTTGTGAAAGGTCCTATTTATCGTCCGTGCGTGCATACGTGCGCGCGTGCGTGCGTGTTTGTGTAACAATGAGATACCTTCGAGTCTCCTGACTTTTTTGTCATTAACATTGGGTGCGATAGGATGTATGGGAGATTTGAGGGGTTGTAATGTATGATAGTACAGGGCCCTTCTGTAGTCCACATCCTTCTTTGGTAAAGGCCCTTTCTGTGGGCTGAGTTCTTCTGTGTTACAGTTTCATTCTGTATGCCACGCCCTTTTGTGGGCCATGTCCTTTTGTGGTATTGAAGTGTGTAAGGTATACTCCAATCGCAGACAATAAGTACTTAGCGCTAACTTAACCGTATATTACATCCCCTCTGCTTTTTTAAGGTGGAGAACCTCCTTAAGTTTCGTCATGACGAGATCGGGCGCGCGTAAGATGCGCACGCAATACCATAAAATGAAAAAAAAGAAGAAAAACGAAAGAGGATAGCGGGGAGCAAAAGTAGTCTTATACATGTTTGCGTTAGTTTCAGGCGTTGGTAAATCTCCGATAGTGGTAAAGGTCAATGTGGACCAGTAAAGAGAACCGAGATATTTTCTTTGTTAGAGTAGCAGATTCCCCAGGCTTATAGGTGTATGCCCACTCACCCTTAAAATGCTTCGCGCAGAAGGTAATAAAAGCTTCCGAACCAGTGAGCGAGAAGAAGCAGTATATGAATGAGATTCGGCGCACGCCAGGTTTTAGGTCCCATCTGTAGATCAGGCCGGGGTGATCCCGATTGATCACGGCTTGATTGGACACCACCAATTACAGCGACCGGTGCTTAGGAACTTTGTAGTCTCAAGCGGAGTGGCTCGTGTCCAATTGAGCCGTGTCCAACTGGGTGCCATCCGATCAGACCCTTCTGTGGACAAGGCCCTTCTGTAATACAGGGTCCTTTTGTAGTTCAGGGATTTTCTGCAGACCAAGCCCTTCTGCGGTACAGGGCCTTTCTGTGAAACAGGGCACTTCTGTGGGCCAGGCCCTTTCATGGGCTAAGCCCTTCTGTGGGCCAGGCCCTTTCATGGGCTAAGCCCTTCTGTGGGCCAGACCCTTCTGTGGAACAAAGCCCTTCTATGGTACAGGGTCCTTCTGTGTGGTAGGCTTTTCTGTATTATAGGTTTCTTTTGTAATCCAGATCCTTCTGTGGTAGAGGGCCCTTTTGTGGTACAGAGTCCTTCTATAGCAATGGACCCTGTGGTAAAGAAATCTTTATTATAATATAAAAAAATATTATCATTTCATGTATGAAATTTTTCCCAGGGTAATTTATTAACAAATTGAATCGTTCATCGGAACAACGGTACAGAAATATAGGTAGTTATACAAATAGCAATCAATATAGAAACAAGAATTACCAAAGAAAAAGATATATAGCGTTTCCTTTTGTGCTACTATCCTTTATAAATATAATTATAGTGATGCAACACCAGAAGCGAGGCGAAGTGAACACGTCTGTACTGTTCGAACGGTTTCGTGAGACAATCGTCCTTCTGAAATCCAGATCCTTCTGTGGTAAAGGGCCCTTCTGTGACCTGTGTTCTTCTGTGAGCTGGATTCTCCTGTGTTACAGGGTCCTACCGTGAACCATGACGTTCTGTAGGCCAGGCCCTACTGTGGTACAGGACCCTTCTGTATTCCAAGCCCTTCTGTGGTTCAGGGTTTTTATATGGTACAAAGCTATTTTGTGAAAGGTCCTATTTATCGTCCGTGCGTGCATACGTGCGCGCGTGCGTGCGTGTTTGTGTAACAATGAGATACCTTCGAGTCTCCTGACTTTTTTGTCATTAACATTGGGTGCGATAGGATGTATGGGAGATTTGAGGGGTTGTAATGTATGATAGTACAGGGCCCTTCTGTAGTCCACATCCTTCTTTGGTAAAGGCCCTTTCTGTGGGCTGAGTTCTTCTGTGTTACAGTTTCATTCTGTATGCCACGCCCTTTTGTGGGCCATGTCCTTTTGTGGTATTGAAGTGTGTAAGGTATACTCCAATCCCAGACAATAAGTACTTAGCACTAACTTAACTGTATATTACATCCTCTCTGCTTTTTTAAGATGGAAAACCTCCTTAAGTTTCGTCATGACGAGATCGGGCGCGCGTAAGATGCGCACGCAATACCATAAAATGAAAAAAAAGAAGAAAAACGAAAGACGATAGCGGGGAGCAAAAGTAGTCTTATACATGTTTGCGTTCGTTTCCGGAGTTGGCAAGTCTCCGATGGTTGTTAGAGGTCAATGTGGACCAGTAAAAAGAGCCGAGATATTTTCTTTGTTAGAGTAGCATATTCCCTAGGCTCTAGGTGTATGCCCATTCACCTTTAAATTTCTTCGCGCAGAAGGTAATAGAAATTTCCGAACCAATGAGCGAGAAGCAGTATATGAATGAGATTCGGCGCATGCCAGGTTGTAGGTCCCATCTGTGGACCAGGCCCTTTTGTGGACGAGGCCCTTCTGTGATACAGGGCCCTTTTGTAGTTCAAGGATTTTCTGCAGACCAAGCCCTTTCGTGGTACAAAGCCTTTCTGTGGAACAGGGCACTTCTGTGGGCCTGGCCCTTTCGTGGGATAAGCCCTTCTGTGAGCCAGGCCTTTCTGTGGTATAGGTCCCTTCTGTAGGCCAATCCCTTCTGTGGGGCAAGATCCTTCTGTTTGTTGTGCCCTTCTGTGATACAGGGCCCTTCTGTGGGTTAGGCTTTTCTGTATTATAGGTTTCTTCTGTAATCCAGATCCTTCTGTTGTAGAAGGCCCTTTTGTGGTACAGAGTTCTTCTATGGTAAAGGACCCTGTGGTAAAGGAATTATCTTTATTAGAAAATAAAAAAATACATTGGTCCCACGATAAATGCAAACTCGTAAAAAAATACTCGAAACAGTACGCGGACTAACGTAGCGTCGGTTACTTCGGACTATAACTGGATTACGTCGAAAACATGACATGCTAATCCACGCGAACTGCGCGACAAAATCACCCCGCGGTATCATTTGCGCAAAATATTAATCGCGCATTGATCCCACGACTGAGTGCAAACTTGTAAAAAAATACTCAAAACAGTACGCGGACTGACGTAGCGTCGGTTACTTCGAACTATAACTGCAGGATCGCGTCGATTACATAACGCGTTAAATCCGCGCAATGCGCGCGACAAAATCACCTCGCCATATTTATTAATCGGAGGAAAGCATAAGAATCAAATTGGCGCGTTCGGCGGTTTTAGTGTTAACCAAGGGTCAAAATTTTGACTCGGGGCGCGAGCCGCGTCAATTGCGCTTTCTGGCGCACGGGATTTAACTATGATGGAAAAATAATATGGTGTGCACAGCTGGACAGTGTCTCTTTTTAAATTTCTGCCCTTTCTGTCTATAAACTGTTTATATTGCAGAAGGGCTACCAACTGTGAAACGCTAAAAAAACAAGGGGCAGTATTCATAGTCTGTTTTTATTTTAAGACTGTCTTAAATAATGTCTTAAGATGCTAATACAGTCCTCGGATTGATATCTTAAGACTGTACTTAAGACAGTTTTAAATGCAAGAATCGGGGGTGATCCCGATTGACCACGATTCGATTGGACACCACCAATCACAGCGACTGGTGCTTAGGAGCTTTGTAGTCTCAAGCGCTGTGAGTGGCTCGTGTCCAATTAAGCCGAGTTCAACTGGGTGCCACCCCAAGAATCGACTATTAATATCTGCCTGTTTCGCGTCGTAAAAT